TTCCATCCCTTTCCCCAGGATGTAGTCATAGGACTCCCCTCACTGCCAGGGGTTCTGGAACCTTCAGCCCTTAACCTGGGCAGTCAGAGGGCTCAGATAATTTCCCTATTACAGTGGAGAAGGGGATCATGGTCCCCAGTTCCTGGTCCGTTTCTTGTTGGCTCACCCAATAAGAGCTGAGGGAAGCTCCAGTCTGGTTAGCGTGTGCTTCTGCAACACATGTGTCCCCAGTCCTGTCCCAACTGCTCCCTCCACCCCATGTCACAGCACAGTGCAGAGCACAGAGCTTTCTCCTGTGGCCTCACTCTTCCTGGGCTGCTGCTATGGCTCCCTTTCCTTCCCTTCCCTCTTCTCCTCCTCCTCCCTCCCTCTATTTCCTCACTTCTCCCCCACTTCCTTCTCTTCCCCCCAACCCCAGCTCCTTCTCCTCCTCCTCCTATGTTTACTTCTGGTTTCATGATTTGTATCTCTCATCTTCTCAGCCTGTTGCAAATGGACCCACCCTTTAGGTGCCTCTTAATTCTGCTCTGTCCTGAAGGATTTCTCAAGTACTCAAGCCCACCTTGGCTTCTGCCCAACTCATGGTCATCCCTGGTAATGGGCAGCTTCTCTGGGATCCCTCTTTATTTTCTCAAGGGTATGCCCTGACTCCCCAGTCCTCGTCTGTGCCCCACTGTGCCTCTTTCCATGGGAGGAGGCTGCATCTAGAACTCCTGCCCTGTTGAGCACAGAAGATGTTGTGACTCCCATCACAGAGGGATATCTACAGAAGTCCAGCTGTTTTGCACAGATTTCCAAAGCTGGGTCTACCTGATGCCAGCCTAAGCTGGAGAGGAGCAGAATTTCTGTTGTCTGCCTTGGACAACTGTTCATGTTTATGAGGCTGATGTGCTGGGTTTGCTTCAATTTGTCGAGTAAAGGGCAATGGTGGTCATCACTTAGATCTAATGTTGGGCTCCAGAGGAGTAGTTCTTAAAACAGATGCACCTGGGCCCCAGAAACATGAAGGTCTGTAGATCCTCCCCTCTGCGGGTGGCCCAGGTGGAGGCAAAAGAGAGTGAGGAATCCTGGTGTGGGTCAAGGTCCAAGGTGATGGTGCTATCTCTATCTTAGTGGGCCATGTTTCTCCAGTTTGGATCAGGAATTACAGATTGACCTTCACCTTCCAGTTTTTAAACATATCTTCCCGCTAAGCCTGCAGACTTGCTCTTGGTCTTGACTTGGCAGGGGTGGAAGCACACATAAAGAGAAAGCCACAATGAATGAAATATTTCTACAAATCTACTTATTCTCAGGAATCTGCATCATTGTACTTCTGTGGACATTAACTAATGGGAAGGAGAGTGGAAAACAGTCATCCTGGCGTGATGGAGAACCAGTGGGAAGTAGCAGCAATGCCAGGCTATGTGACAGGAAACAGGGATTCCCGTTCTAACTCAGCCAGGAATGGCAGCACCCTTGTTCATGACCCCAATTCTGAGCTTCGGTTTCCTTATCCATAAGATAAGGAGATGGGCAAAACAATAGTCATATTTCTTTCTTGGGGATGCCACTAAATTTATGTTTCTAGAATTTTCCGTACTCTTTACAGACTCCACAGCTATCTTCTCATTGGATCCTCACAGTACACCTTTGAGGTAGTCTGACAGGGATCATTATTACTCCCATTACACAGCTGGGTGCATGGTAATGGAATGGTAAATACCATTGGGTAAATACCCAAGGTTTCGTTGGTAATGAAACCCCTCCTCCTAATCTAGAATAGTTCCTTCTCAGCAGGAGGCTCATGCCTGTGTGTGAATACTGGTGAATTTGGGCATCTGTCTGTTATGTTTCTCTGATGTGTAAGAAGGATGCAGTTAGTAGCTGGACTCATGATTTCCCTGGGTTTACAGGGAACTCGTTGATATTTGCTTTTGTTGGATGGATGGTCCATATATGGTACAATGTACACTAAATGCTTTAACTAGGCAATCATAAATAGTAGGAGGAGGGCGAGGGTTAGTGGGCAAGGAGAGATGGACCAGTAAAGGGGCAAAAACTTAAGAGCGGAATTGCCGGCGCTATTGTATGTATTCTGTAAGTACTTACTTCACTTGGTCTTCACATTAATCCTATGAGGGAGGTTGCTATGATCACACCCATTCTACAGATATTGAAACCAAAGCCTGGAGACATTAAGTAACTTATCCAACCTAGGAAGTGGCAGAGCCAGCATGTGAAGCCAGGCAGTCTGGTTTCAGAGTTTACAGTCTAACCACTCTGCTATCTAGATCAGATTAGGTAGTAATATAAGCCTTTGTGAGTATAAAGTCAGATAAGAGAGAGAGAGAGAGAATGAATTCCCTACTCAAAGCTAGCAAGGTTGCAGAGAAATTGGCACACCACATATCCCAGTACTACAGACAGTGAGTTTAATCTTCTCATGAGCAATATGTAGCAAGACCCATACAGTTTCTCCATATTTGTCAATTTAAGAATGCCACCCCTAAGGGATCCTGGGGGTCTCAGTTTGTTAAGCAGCCTACTCCTGATTTCGGCTCAGGTCATGATCTCGGGGTCCTGGGATGTAGCCCCACCTGGTGGGTTCAACAGGGAGTCTACCTTAGGATTCTCTCTTTTCCTCTCCTTGTGCCCCTCCCCCTGCTTGTGTGCATACTCTCTCTCAAATAAATAAATAAATAAATCTTAAAAAAAACAAAAAGAGTGCCAACCCTAGAAGTTTGTTCTAAGCTTACAGTTCAACCAAAGCAGCAAGCTATAGGCATGAAGCTTATTGTGTGGTCTCTAGTAATGCAGCAAGTGTAATGCCCTAGAATAGAGCATGATTAAGTGATTTCACGGAAATTTCACTAGTTGGAATACTATGAAAACATTTAAAATGAAAATTATGAAGATAATTGTATAGAAGGATGGGGAAATGTCTCTGATAAAATGTTCATATTAAAACACAGAATAAAAAATATGTAGATTTCAATGACAAATCTGGTCTCTATGCATGTTGGCAAAGCCTGAAATAGACCAGGAAAACCTTCTAGTAGTTAGGTGTTTGTTAAGGTCTTCTCATTTTTAAGATTTTTATTAGTGGTGGCATTGTTTATTTGACAGATCATGAAAGCAGGAAAGAGATGGTGGCAGAAGCTTGTTGAAATGACCCTCAAGAACGGGGCTTAGGTCTGGTGGGAGGTTCCCCCCCACTTCATCTCGGAGTTCTCTGGGGGCAGCCACAGGCGTTTGGGGGCAAGAGGTCGAGGTTTATGTATGCTTGGGAGTGAATGGTGTGCCCTGGGTCTGCCTCATCTCACATCTGCCGTTCTTCATTCTTTGTCTCAGCTTAGAAGTCACTTTTCCCAAGTAAACCCAATTGCCACCCCCACCCCCAAATGGGCTAGCTGCCCCTCCTATGTGTCCCCTTTCCCAGTGCCCTATGCTAAGCTCCACGTCTGCACCTAGCAGGCTTTCTGGTGATGGCGTTTACAGTGCAGAGGCCCCTCTGTGCTATAAGGGTTGGGATGTTGGGGGGCCCTACATGGCCCCGCAATGCCTTGACACAAATACATCACGTATTCAATGAATGATCCAGGAGCCTGGGTTGTATTGGGTTCCTTTTAGCTTCACATACTGTGATTTTACCATCTAATTTTTACCATTTACCGATTTTTACCGTTAAATAAAGGAGCCATTGGGTTTTGGAGACAAGTCCCAACGTCGGAAGTGTCCTCCATCCATCCACCTGTGGATGGGCTCCCCAGGTGGATTCTGGCCTGGGTGTGGACTGTGAGCCTGGTCTGGGGCTGTGCTGGGAATTTTCATAGCACGTGGGTTGAGCCGCTGACAATGCCGCTGTGAGGGGGAAGCCTCTTCCCTTTTGTCGTGCCTGTACCTGGCAGGCCAGCCACGGGCCACATGTGACACAGTGACTGTGCCTCCACTGTGAATGCCAGGGAGCCTGCTAGCCCTGATGTCATGCATGCCCTCCGGCCGAGGAAGTGGGCGTGTCAGAGCAGGGCGGAGGGTGACCAAGTGGTCCGGGTTTTCTGGGTGAGTGAGTCTCTGTATGGAATCCACGCACATACTTCAGTGTATGAGTGGATTTCAATTCAGCGAATAATTATTGTGAGCTTTGTGCTCTGCAAAAGCAACAAAGCGTTGCCACGGGGAGGGAGCCTGGGACTGTACATATCTGCATTGTGTGTCCCCTCTGTGTGTCTTTGGGAATGTGTTCTTGGCACGTGTCCTGCCTTAACAAGGCTTTTGGTGTGTGCATGTCTGTGTGTCAGTGCCTGGGTCCTGTGTGCGGCTGCTCGCTCGCTTTCCACCTTCACTTGTGCCCGCAGTCAGGCTCTGCACGTGCGCCAGCCCCCATGCGCACGTCCCCGAGTGACCTGTGCGCGGTGTGCAAGGACCTCCGGGTCGTGTGCATTTGGTGCGCTCGTGCCAGTCTCTCCGCACGCACGAACGCACCTCCACATGGCTGGGTGCACGTCCCCCTCGGTGTGTGCACGTTCCGTGCGCATGCCGCCCGGATGTGTGTGCGGGGCGCTGCACGGGCGCGCGCCGGCCTGCGGGCGGCCAGGGACCCGCGCCAGTCTCCACGCGCCCCGCGGGGCTGACCTCCCCCCACCCCCTCCCCGCGCCCGGCCGCGGGCCTCGGCGATTGGCCGCCCGCGCCCTCGCAGCCGTCACCCCTCCCTCCCCACCGCCGCCACCCGCGCGCCCGCGGTCCCCGCTGTCCCCCGCGGTTCCGGCGAGGCCGCGCCGCGCTGCGCTCCGCTCCCATTGGCTGCGCGCGCCTTTGTGTGGCGGCAGCTGCGGCCCCAGCGCCTTTGAATGTCGAGAGGGGCCGGGAAGGGAGCCTTTCCATGGGCCATCTGTCTCCCCGCCAGCCGCCGCCCCACCGCCGCCCGCGCCCCGCGCTCCGCCTCCCGCCCCGGCGGCTCCCGCAGCCCCGCCGCCGCCCGCGCCCGCGCCCCGGAGCCGCGCCACAAAGGGCCCGCGCGCAGCCGCCGCCGCCGCCGCCGCCGCCGCCGCGCGAGGAGCCAGGATGGTCCTGGTCCACGTCGGCTATCTCGTGCTTCCAGTGTTTGGCTCTGTGCGAAACAGAGGTATCGCTTTTTCCTTTCGGGGTCCGCTTCGGAGCGTGGATCGGCGCAGGCACCGGGGCGGGGGCGGGCGCCGCGGGCGGCGGGGGGCTTAGGGCACACCCGCGGGGACGCAGGGCGAGCGGTGGCTTCTCCCCTCTCCCTTTTGGGGGACCCCCAGTGTGGGGGTGGCCGCCCTCGTGGGAGCTTTTGTAGTGAAGTTAGGGTTTGGCGAATTTGGGTCCCTCCCAACCCCAGCCCCATTTTTTATTCTTTGCGGTGGACGCGGTTCTCCCAGATCACAGCCCCTTCCCCTAATACCTAGCCCTGTATGATCGAAAGGAGGAGAGAGATACATGATTGTATGCGTGCGCGCGCGCGTGTGTATGTGTGTGCAAGCGTACTTGGCTTTCTGTTACTTGGTTTTTTTGAGGCATATGTATGTTTTTGTGTTTTTTATGTTTGTATGCCTTCATCTTTTGGTTATCGGTACCGCTGGCTGGTTAGCTGGGATCTGGTTATCTGCCCTATCCCGTGCCCCAGCCCCCACCCTCCGGTGGGCACTTGCACGATTTCCCGTCCCGTCCCATCCTTTTCTCCCCTTTAACCCTTTTTTTGTGTCGCCCTTTTTCTACCCCCCCCCATTGTCTTTGTATGACAGTTGCATTTATGGATTCAAAATGCTTGGGTGTGTGTGTATGTGAGCGCGTGTGTAAGTGTGTGTGCGCCTCGGAGTCAGACGTGCACTGCTGTGCACCCCTGGTCCCGGCCGGAGCGGGGTGCCCGGCCCTCCGGTGTTCCGCTGTGTGCGGATGAAGTGGGAAGCCGCCCCCCACGCCAGGCCTTTGCCCTGGGCAGGCGTTGACAAAGCAGCAGGCCGGCGCCGGCTTTGTTTTTAACTGTGATATATGGGGTGTGTTTGCACGGTCCCCTTCCCCACATCCCCTTTCCCTTACATTCTGCTCCAACAATAGCTTGGTTTCCCCCTCTTCTCCCCACCCCCCTCCACATTTCTTCCATTTTCTTTTAATCAAAAATTCCCACCTCCCAAAGCGAATTCGAGATGCATTTAGATTCATTTTTTTTTTCTTTTTTCTTTTTGTATTCTGCCTCTGGACTCACATTTCTCTTCTTGGAAATGTTTCTGCTACCCTCTCCCACTCCAAGTCTGCTTAAATCCCTGCTGGCTAAGGCCCTCCCCCACTCCCCCCTCCCTCCCGCCCAGAATGATGTCTTCCCTTTGCGACCAGGGCTGCTCCACCGAGTCAGAGCAGGGGGTGGGGTCGCGGGGCCAGCGCTGTAGTGCGCCCCAGGGGCCCGATTGGGCAAGCAAATGAAAGCCCGGCCCTCTTTCTTCCAGCCCAGCTGTCCCCAGCCCCACGCCTCTCCCCAGAACCTAAAAGGCAAGGTTGGCCCCCTTAGGCCTGTTTGAACCGCAGTTTTTTTTGTGTTGATGATAGAATGATGACATTCTGCATTTATCAAATCTTTTTTTTTCTTCATTGTGTAGCTCAGTGAATGGTCAACTCGCTGCTGTGTGCGCTGTGACCCTTCTGCCTCCGCATTTAGCTGTATTGTGACACCCCTCTTAACCATCTCCTGTCTCCATCTGAGGAAAGCATTGCTATTTAAGCGGCAGTATCCCTATCTCAGGCCGGCCTAGCGGTGGAGGGGGTGTGGAGGGGGTGTGTGAGGAGTAGGATGGGGGCGGGGGCCGGGTGAGCGCTCCCTGGAAATGCCAGCCCCCTCCCCCAACACACAATTATTATGTCTTCTTACTTGGCATTTCCTCTCAAAACGGGTGGGGAACATTACACTAGGCAGAAATTCAAAAATGATTAAGAAGGATGTTGAGCCTGAAAGTATAATTATCCTGATTAAATCATTATCATCCTCATTAATACCGCAGATCTCTAAATACCATTGCAGGATGCCGATTTTACGGTTTGAAATTCAAATTGCTCCGCTGCCTTTAAATTTTATTTTTGATATGTTCTCCTCCCCCCAAGCCCCCCTCCCTCGCCACCCCCCAATAAATTCTGCCCCAGTCAGTCAAAGTTTACTTTCATGGCAAACACGCCCACAGGAAATTCAAGGGTGGAGGGTGAGTCGGGCTGTGGGTAAAATTTAGCACAATGAGATAAGAATTCATGACCTTTCGATAGAGGATACTAATGCTTAACCCAACAAGGTCCTACACCACAATCTTCTTGTAAAACTGTTAGATAGCTTGCCAGCTTAAGTCTGTTCTTTTTAGTTTCCATTGTAGTAGTGTAGGATGTAGGCCATTTCAGAATAGATGTAGAGAAATAACCATTTTTGTATCTTCATCTTGTTTAGCTGAGTACATTGCACTGTAAATCCCTGTTAAGTGGATTCCTTTTGCCTTGGCTTGGAGGCTCCGGCACCCCATTTCCCACTTACCTGGGTGTCCATCAGCTGGTTTCTTGGCAAACACCCAGGCGTAAGTGAAGAGAGTACATTTAGTCGGAGGCAAAAAATACTAAGTATATATATATATATATATATATATATGAAAATCTCTGATGAAATGACAGTTGCCGCTACTCTGTAGCCTCTGAAAATTTGGTGCAGCAAGGTCCCTGGCTGAAGGGGGAGCCACGGCCATGGCGTCTTAATTATTTAAGGGTACGATGTCAAGAGCATCTCTGGACATCCGCCCTGGCCCTCAGAACTGCCCCTTTAACAGCCGGCTCCCTTCTGCTGCCTCACCGGCCCGGACCTGCTTGAAAACTGAAACAAAACGACGGCAGTGATGTAAGAATAAGGTCCCTACTTCGAGGGCCCTTCCGAAATAAAGTCCCAAGTGGCTGCCCCAGATTGCCACTTGGCAATCTGAAAAGGAAGAGCCAAACCAAAAAAAAAAAAAAAAAAAAAAGAAGAAGAAAGAAAAACGAATCCCCAGCAAAATGGTTTTCCATTAAACAGGGATAGCGTGTTCTGCTGTGCTGAATTACTTCCTGTTCTTATTTTGTGGGTAATTTTTTCTGTATCAAATATCCTTTTGGTTGTGTATCTTTTTCACCTTTTCTTGTACTAAAACTAAAGCATGATCTGTATTTTTTGACATCCCCCAGTTGACAATGTACAGCGCTCGGTTAGAGGTGTCACCCTGCTGAAACGTACTGTGGTCGTGTAGCCCGGGCCATCTGCTCATTGTACGCTGCTTTTGTTCTGTTGCTCCCTCCGAAGCATGGTGGGCCCAGCCTTTTTTTTTTTGTATCGTGTGCATGATGACATTGTTACACACAGAATCCACTAATACTAATATACAATCTCTCAATAAAGAACTAGTTTTCCTATATTAACCTAGTGTGCTTTTTCTCTTGCTGTTTTCCCATTTATTGTCGTATCCTGCTGTTTAGATCCCCCCCCTTGCTTTTCTATCCCCACCCACCCACCACTCCCACCTCCCATTGTAAGATTCGAGTGAATGCCTTTTTTTTCACTTTCCTTTCTTTTTTTTTTCCTTTTCCTTTCTTTCCTTGCTTTTCTTTTTCTTGTCTTCTTTTCTTTTTCTTTCTTCCTTTCCTTCTTTTTCTTTCTTTCTTTCTTTCTTTTTTTTTTTTTTTTTTTTTTGGTGGTACAGATATGGTGACTTTAATACCAACTAGTCCATATCTTTTTACAGTAGACATCTGGGGCCATGGGAAAGGTCAGTTGCCCTGCCACACCGAAACAGCTCAGCTGTGTAGAGACAACCCCTATCTTTGGTCACCTGTGCAGCCTGCGCATTTCACCATAGTTTCAAAGTTACAGGGCTCTCAGCTTGTGATGCTGGGGAAGAGGAGGGGATATAACACTTAGGTTGAGAAAAGGGATACTGTTCTTAACTAGCAATCTGTAGCATTTCAGACTCGCCTGCAAAACCCATTTTTAGTTGTGTTTTAACTTTTCCTTTTACTGTCTCATTGATTTACTGTCCTTAAAAATCATGCCAGGGGTAATATGTTACATGTAGTTGAAGCCATGGTCTAGAATTTTAAAGCATCTTCTTATATGTGCCTCTTTAAGTTCTTGGGACCTGCAGTGTAAGTTTTGCATTGAGATCCTGCATAAGGAAGATGTTGAGAACAGAAACCAACTCAGACCACCCCCACATTTATCCCAGGGTCAGCAGCCTGACCTGTTACTGTAGAAATAAGAGGGTCTGTGTCCTCTGTAGGCTGTAAGCCAGTCAAAGCTGATTATAGCCTAGTTCCCGGACAGCTGCCTCATCTGTGGTCCTAGTGCCTCACTTGAGAAAGAAAGCCAGATCTTTGCCATTGTCTGTGTGTGTGTGTGTGTGTGTGTGTGTAGGAGGTGGGGTGGGGATCAGGAGGGAAGTCGGGACCTACCCCCAAATTAAATTGGAAGAAGAGCCCTTAACGTGTATCTGTTTTCCGTAATTACATTTGAGAAGCCAGTGGAGAGGTATTTTTTCCCCCAGAGTGGAACCCAAATTCAAGCATTTGTCAATTACACCTATTCAGTTTCCGCCCAGAACAAGTCTTGCTAAATGAGGCATTTTAGACACTGAGGGAGCGGGTTGATTAAAGAAATTCATGGTTCCCCCAAAGGGTCATCATTTTGGAGCTGCTCTTCCTTGGGCCCTACCTCCTCCTCCCTCCCTGGGGCTGTGTCCCAGGGTCCCTCTGCCCCTCTGCTGGCATTGTTTCCCCACATAGGTGCACCCTGCCTGGCCAGTGCTGCCTTGCCTTCTTTGTGGCTTGGTAGGACTCTCCTCTCCTCCCATTACTGCCCTTTCTGCTCTGGCCCTTTGTTCTGGTGCTCTCCCCAGCCTGGGTGGGAGAGCTGAGCTGATTTACTGTGACACATGGACACACATGGACGTTCCCAGAGGAGGCTCCTGCTGTAGTTGGTGCGAGAGGAGCTATGCAGGCCTTCAAGGATTTTTTGTTTTTGTTATTTGCTTCTCCTCCTCCTCCTCCTTCTTTTATTTCGATTGACATGAAACTTTTAATTTTGTTCCTATTGGTGAAAGCAAAAGCAACCATTCTCCC